TACTCTTAGTGCAGCTTTTTAGGGACTTTTACAACAACCTAATAATAATAATAATGAATTACTGTAGTAACAGGACAGGCTGTCATGTGTAGGCTGTGTGCAGGCAGACAACGTCCCCAGACAAGTTTGAACTTTTGCTGTTTTTCAGTTGTTTCTCAGCATCTCCATTCTGCTGCACCCAAGAAACTGTCATTTAGGTGACTAACCAGCCTCTTTGTGAGAGACTGTAACATCATGAGCAACAACACGGACAGTTTTCACTCTCTCCTGTATGCAGTAGACGAGTTGGCAAATAAGATTGATGATGATTGCGCACATCGCCCAAAGGCTCTAAACTCGCCTGTGCTCTGCGTGGAAAAGAAAAAAAAGTTTGCATGAAAAATTACCACTGGATTTCTGAAACATGCCAGCATACTATGTCCTCACCACCCTGCACAAGGCAGTCTCCTATTGCTAACTTGCATACTATCTGCATGCTGACCCGCCCCCATTTTGCTATATAAATAAACATTATACAATATCTCCAGCCTGCAGCTCCACCGCAGGAAATAAGGGGGAAGTCTGACTGTTGAGGCTCAACTTTCCAAAGAGTTTCCACGGAGTGACAAACATTTTAAAAGCCTGGAATCAGAAAGTCTGATGTGAAAAAAAAAGTCAGATTACAAGAAAAAAGAAGAAAACAGGTGGAGGACAAGGAGCTGTCAGCCTCAGGTGAGAAACCCACTGCCAAAGTTTCCAAGGAATTATACTGCAAGTGATGGTCAAAGTCATTTTTGTCATTTGTTCATAAGAAGGAATTGTAAATGTAATCCTAAAGTAGTAAAATATTGATAAATTACAGATTTATGTGTATGCACTGTTAGTAAATGAGGCCCACTGAAATAACCTTACTCTTGCAAGACATGTATGTATAGAATGATGCTCTAGAAATCTTTCAGTTCACACTCCATACAGCTGTTTTCTTACATTTACTGCAAATTAACCATTTACCTGTTATACCATCTATATGTCAAGCTTCCCAGTCTCACATTCAGCTGTTGGAGGATGAGCTCTTCGCTGTGGTATTGATGGTATTTTCCTGGGTATTGATATTGAACCTTAAATTCTAGCACATGATGACTCTACCTAAATCATGTAATAAATTCAGTCTGCTCTTTGCTGTTAAATTCAACATCATTTTGGTAGTGTTCTTTACATACTGGCGATCCTTCTAACTGTACTGTCACAGAATTACTTGATATTGCCAAGTCATTTAACTAAGTGCATCTAGGTTTTATCTGGGTTTTAATCTTGGCCAGTCTATAAACTCCCTGCAAATGTCTGATTCATATGAAGGGAGTTTGGTCCGACCACAAATGTGTAATTTTTGATACAGCCAGTATTTTCTTCCCAGAAGAAAACCATTTAGTCTGACATTTTTAATGAGCACCTGACAGCCAGGTTTTCAGCTCTCCTTTCTCACGTCCACATCACCACACCTACTTTTTTGGACATCTTGGTTAATTGGATTAATAGTTTATGCTCATGAATTCTCAATGGGGTAGAAGCCTGATTACCCCCAGCTGTCAACCCAAACCCCTGAATCAGTGATCATATCCCATCCATTATCATGGAGACACAAATCCCCAGGTTCACTACCTTCACATGAAGGAGTTGCTAACCACACTCAGCCTGGTTTGATTAATAATCAATAACAATAATCAAGTGGTAACTAATATCTTGGACAAATTCCAAGCTGGTTTCCAGTGAAACCACAGCACTGAAACAGCATTACTAAAAAATACTAATGATATTCTTATGCATTTTGGATAAATATAGTCCTACTAGATTTATCTTCAGCTTTTGTGAATGTGTGTGTGAATGGGTGAATGACTGAATGTAGTGCAAAGCGCTTTGGGTTCCTTAGGGACTAAGTAAAAGCGCTATACAAATGCAGGTCATTTACCATTTTGACACCACTGATCATCCCACTTATCAACAAGTTACACAAGTGACATCAGTGGCAATGTTTACAGTTTTTAGCATACTCCTGGTGTTGTTGACCTCTGGCTTTGTGCTTTATGGATTCATGATTTGTTCTTTTGGATTTGTGATAAGTGAGTTTTGAATGCATAAATCCTGGAAAGTGTTCCCGTCCTGCCGTCAGCTGAGCTAACCCCCACTTTTTAAATGGCATTGCCAACTATAGTGCCATACTACGAGTGCAACATTGCGATCACTGCTACAGTTAGCCGATTGTGTTTCAGCCTTCCTCAGTTCTACATGATTTCATGTCTTCATTCACTTGGCTTCCTCTTTCTCTGACACCAAAACCGTTTTTTGACTATGGTATGCAAATAATTACAATCCAATGAATAGTACAGTGTTACATAGTGCTCAATGTTAAATTTAGACTTGATTTAATTTATAACATCCTCCAGCTCTGCTTCCAGTTATGTTTAAATACAATAGGGATCACAAGTAGGTAGGGTTGCCAACCGTCCCTTAAAAAACGGAATCGTCCCGTATTTCGAAACAAAAGTACACGTCCCGTATTGAGCTAATAAGGGACGCACTTTGTCCCGTAATACAGTGAGAATCAAAAGTAGTCTATAAATGTTAATGGAATTAACGCTTTGTTTGAAAACATAATTCCCAGACCCTCTCCTGCTTTGTGACCAATGAGCTGACAGCACACTTATGACAATTCGAGTATGACAATTCAGATTATCTCATTGGTCGAGGAAAGGTCGCTTGCGGAGAAAATACCGGAAGACAACAGATGACCACAACAACAAGCATGGCCAACAGGGAAACAAACGCCGACACTGCGGTGCACGTCTCGGATGACAGTACATCTAAAGCTGGGCAGACACTGCGATTTTTTTCAGTCACGTTATTCAGCTCTTGCTCAAACTGCACGATTGACTCGCAGGGGTTAGAAGTTTGCAGGTCACGATGCAGGGTCTCACACTATACGGCCCGATGCTCTGATGCGACCTGAGTGCTCACACTGTGCCAACATAACATGAAGGTTATAACAGAAAATCTGTCGCTCGCTCTCTCTGTCTTTCACTCACACAGACACACCACCACCATCAACTTTGCTAAATTGCTAATGAAAAACATGATCAGGCAGCTGTGATTGAGCAGCAGTGTAAATCCAACTATTTTCACGGTTGTTGTGGTCGTGATAATTTTGTGATGCCACATCGAAAAGGCTCGGATGAGCTTTCCAAAGTTCTACAAGTGCCTCCATCACTTGTGTCCAGATCACACGCTGCACAGCCGTGCTGCGCCGTCTTTTTCACTGATGTTTACGTGTTTGCGCATGAGCAGTGTGAGCGGCTGTGGTGACACCCTCACGAGCGATTGATGATTGGGAGCTGGTCGTGAGGTGTTAATCGCTTCTCGTTACCCCACGTATACTACACGATGCACGATGAAGGCCAAAATCGGGCCGATCACCAAATCGGTCGCACGACTCAAAAATCGGCTCAAAATGGGCCAAAAATCGCACAGTGTGAGCCCAGCATTAGAGCAGCAATGTTTGTTCCCCTCAGAGAAAGAAAAGAAAAGGCTGCAAAAGTACAGGGAGGACTGGGAAAAGGAAAACACCTGGCTGGGAAAGTGCACGATAACACCTTTAAAGCGCACTGCACTGTGTGCCGGCGCACTTTTTCCATAGGCATGCTTCTAGTGGTGGGCACAAGAAGAACATGAGGGGCGTGAAAGCTCGGGGAACCCTTAACCAATTTTTTGTCCACCAGGCCACGGCAGAAGCAGATATGGTATGTAAACACTGGTTTGTTGTTTAAACCCTCTGGTTAAGGTTAATATGGGCATGTGCGGTGAATATCAGCGCTATGTGGCCAGAAGTGTGATAATATCATTTATTTTGTGTAATAAACAACTGCAAGGATGGATGATTACAACAAATAGATGAATAATACATAAAAGTAATACATAGATGAATAATGATGATGAGTTAAGGTGCGTAATCATGGGAACAAGCGGGTTTACAAACAGGAGCAGCTGATTAGCATTAGAAAAGCTGAAATAATACCGCAACTGAAGCCAATTGTACTAAATGCACTATATGTGCACTGTTACAAGAATATTTTTCGTTCTATTGCTTTCTATTAATTTATATAATTTTAAGTTAAGCAGGACAGAGTTCTTTTAAAGAAAGATTTACTTATATTCTCAAAAGTTAAGCATGACAGGCTTCTGTTTAAGAAAGAGACCTGTTTTACTGTGTTAATGTTGTCATTTTGAGCTAAAAATAAATGGCTAAATGATCATTTGTTTCCCATATGGTCATATCACAAAGAATATGCATCTGCTTAAATCAAATTCAAGTCAAATGGTTAAAAAATAATTTCACACACACAAAAAAAGAGCTACCACACTGGGAAGGGTGAAGACAACTGGGTTGCCCGGCCCTGGCCACGAGGTGTCCCTTATTTATTTTTCAGGGAGTTGGCAACCCTACAAGTAGGCAGTGTTGGGGAGTAACGGAATACATGTACCGCCGTTACGTATTTAGAATACAAAATATGAGTAACTGTATTCCGTTACAGTTACCGTTTAAAAAGGTGGTATTCAGAATACAGTTACTTTGTTGAAATAAATGGAATACACTGGGGTACTTTCCTGTTTCATTTTGTCGCGGGTCAGGACTGTTTGGGTTTTGTTTGACAGCTACGATCTGTTGTTCCAGGCGGCAGCGTTACGGTTGCCATGGTTACAGGGCGACTCTCTCTCTCTTTCTGCGACTGTGTGTTTCCTGGGTGAGAGAGCGCCTTTTCGTTGTTGTTGTGCTAAGCTAACAGGCAGAATGCTACAAGCATAGCTCTAAAGAATGTAGCATCATGTTCAGTGTAGTCCGTGCTGCTGGGAGAATGGACTGCCATACACGTTATGTGTCTGTGAGCGCTAGGAGGGAGAAAAAGGGGAGTGGAAAGGTACGAGCAGTCATCGAGCAAAAACGGGAGCTGGAAGCATGTAAATATAATAATAACCACTGCAGCCAAGAAGAGTGCCTGACGAGCCCAGTTGTAAGTAAGCTATTAAGACTCGACTGTACACTGTGTTCGTGTTTTCCTCCGAAAACAACAAGTTCCGTTGGAGCAGCCTTTCAACGCCTCTCTCTGTCTGTCGCAAGAAAAGTTGACCCACACAACAAAGTAGAGCTATTTTTCGGCTACCAGCCGACAGGGACCCCGCCGTATTATGCTGGGCTTACACTGTGCGATTTTTTCAGTCGCGCGATTCAGCTCCTGCTCAAACTGTACTATTGACTCGCAGGGGTTAGAAGTTCATAGGTCACGATGCAGGGTCTCACACTATACGGCCCGATGCTCTGATGCGACCTGAGTGCTCACACTGTGCGTCCATAAAAATGAAGGTTATAACAGAAATTCTGTCGCTCGCTCTCCCTCTCCGTCTTTCACTCACACAGACACACCACCACCATCAACTTTGCTAAATTGCTAATGAAAAACATTGGTCAGGCAGCTGTGATTGAGCAGCAGTGTCGATCCAACTATTTTCACGGTTGTTGTGGTCGTGATAATTTTGTGAGGCAACATCGAAAGGGCTCGGATGGTTCTACAGGTTGTGCCTCCATCGCTTGTGTCCAGATCACACGCTGCACTGCCGTGCTACGCCGTCTTTTTCGCTGACATTTGTGTTTGCGCGTGCGCAGTGTGGCAAACTGCGGTGACACCCTCACGACCAAGCGATTGATGATCGGGAGCTGGTCGTGAGGTGTCAATCGCTTCTCGTTACCCCACGTATACTACACGATGCACGACGCACGATGAAGGCCAAAATCGGGCCGATCGCCAAAACGATCGCACGACTCAAAAATCGGCTCAAAATGGGCCAAAAATCGCACAGTGTGAGCCCAGCATTAGTCAGAGGTCCCTTTACTACAGTTCAGAGTCGTGGACCTTCAGTAATAGTAATAAATCACACAGCAATAGTACATTCACATTGTTGTAAAAAGCATGATAATATTGTAGCGGGTCAGGGCTGTTCGGGGTTCTGCTTGTACAGTTATGTTTTGTGTATGTTGCCATGGTGACGGGTGACGCCCTCTCGCTGCGACGGTGTATCCTTCCGGGGTCAGAGGGCGCCCTATGTGTGTTGTGGTTGCCGCGCTGAGCAGTTAGCTAGTGGCAGTGTGTTCTTCTGCAAATGTAATAAACGGCTGTGCTCCCTGGCTAGCTCACGGGAAGCAAGACCAAACGATACCTTCGTCTCCTCCTTGTCTGAACTCGCCACAATATATTAAGTAATCCAAAGTATTCAGAATACGTTACTGTCATTGAGTAACGGAATAGGTTACAGAATACATTTTGGGGCATGTATTGAATGAATGAATATTCTTTATTGTCATTGTCACAGGTACAATGAAATTGAAAGATGTCTCTGGTCAGTGCAACATCACAAAAGATAAATACTTAAAAACTATAATTAAATACTTAAAAACTATAATGATAGGATATAAAAGATAGAAATACATATAAAATACAGTATTCTCATACCGTAGATACACCCAAGCAATCCAGGCCTAAGGCCCCATACAGACACTCAACATACGACCTAGTTGATATATCACTCAAACAATCAATCACTCAATCAATTTGTTAGCGCATCCAACAAAACATGTCTGAAAGCATTCCAACATCAAGGGCACAAATGACAACAAGGGCAATGAAAGTCATCTACTTTTAGTAGCATTGAGACATGATATTGCAATTGGGTAGAAGCTGTGTTTGAGTCTGTTAGTCCTTGTGTATGTTGTTCTATACCGTTTACCTGAAGGCAGCAGTTCGAACATGGAGTGTCCAGGGTGTGAGGTGTCCTTTATGATGTTATGGGCTCTTTTGAGGCAGCGGGAACTGTGTAGGTCTTTCAGTTTGTGTATTCTGTATTCTGTAATGGAATACATTTTAAAAGTAACCTTCCCAACACTGCAAGTAGGAGTGAACTGCTCTATTAGGGTGATATGGTACTAAGTAGTATTAACAAGATATGATGGGCTTGATTATTTAAGACCTTTTATGTCAGGAAAAGGGTTTTAAATTTGATTCTGGATTCAATAAGGAGCCCAAGAAGGAAAGGAGAAATCCATCCATCTATCTTTCCCTGCTCCCAGATGGCCAAACGCCTCACCCTATCTCTAAGGGAAATGCCAGCCACCCTTTGGAGAGAGCTCATTTCTGCCGCTTACACCCTCGTTCTCATTCTTTCAGTCACTACCCAAAGCTTGTGACTATAGGTGAGGATGGGGACTTAGATCAAGCGGTAAATCAAGAGCTTCGCTTTTGCGGTCAGCTCTCTCTTTACCATGACAGACTGGTACAGCGTCTAAATAGCCATTCACCTGTTACACCGCCTATTTGTCAAGCTTCCTAGTCTCACGTTCAGCTGTTGGAGGGTGAGATCTTCGCTGTGGTATTGATGGTATTTTCCTGGGTATTGATATTGAATCTAACTTAAAGCAACTCTGTTGCTTGTGAAGCTCGCACACAAGAATTTCACTCACATGTACTGTACCAATGTACCTGCACATGTGATGTGACAATAAAAGTGATTTGATTTGATTTAAAATTCGAGTGTCATGATGACTCTACCTAAATCGTGTAATGAATGCTTCAATCTGCTCTCAGATGCTGCTGTTAAATTCAACATCATTTTGGTAGTGTTCTTTTTTTTAAAGACATTTTTAATGAGCACCCGCCAGCTAGGTTTTTCAACTTTTTTATTTCTCATGGTGTCTCATTTTGACACCACTGATCATGCCACTTACCAACAAGTTACACAAGTGACATCAGTGGCACTGTTTACAAGTTTTGGCATACTTAAGGTCCCTGAGTTGTTGACCTGTGGCTTTGTGTTTTATGGATTCATGATGTATTCTTTTGGATTTGTCATAGTATTCATGTTCAAGACTTATTTTGTCCCCTGTTTAAATTAGTGCTTCTGAGTTTGTTATCTTTGCTTTTAGTTCTTGGTTTCTCTTTAGATAAGAAGTTATTTCTGTTTCAAGTTAGATGGAAACATCTACATATAGGCAAATAAAAATCTTCAAAATGTAAGAGAACTGTTTTTATTATTATTATTAATTTTGTTAGATTTTTTTAAATATCGGATGTTGGAATTAATTGTATATAACTATAATAAATTTGGTACAAAAAACCGAGAGAGGAATTTAGTTCCTTTTCTGCTGTCAGCTCAGCAGACTGAGGTAGCTCAGTCTGTAGAATTACAGTAGTAACAGGACAGGCTGTCATGTGTAGGCTGTGTGCAGGCAGGAGTGGTGGTAAGGAGGACCCAATGTACAAACACTCTGAGGCAGAAAGTAAACTCAAACTTTGATTTATTGCTAGATGGCAGACAGAGAACTAACAAAACTAAAAATACAAAAACTAAACTGAAAATAACAATAAACTGAACTGACAAGCAGACAGACCACACAGCATGAAATGAGGGTAGATCACAACATAGACAGAGGAAAACACAGAGCTTAAATACACAGAGGGAGCAATCAGGGAATGAGAGACAGGACGAAAACACAGCTGGAACAAATCAGGCCTAGTGAGACAAGGGAAGCAAAACCAGATACATTAACATAGGACACAGACTTTTAAAGTAAAACAGGAAACATAACACAGAGATGCGGACTTAACAAGGGGATATAGCTGACAGGGGAGACAGAGCAACTACGAGCACAGACAGAAACCAGAAGGCAGTACTCTAACAAAGAAACCAAAAGATTAGAAATGATGAATAAGGGCAAAATCAAAGTTCAACAGCAATGACAACTCAAAACTCTGGGTCAATGACCCAAGTCTCCTTTTTTTTTTTTTTCCTTTCTTGTGTCCCGTTTGGATCTTTAGCCATCAGAATTGTTGTCTTAAGGCCAAGAAAGATGCCAAGCGGATTTATTTTACCAAGTGGATCATCATGGCCTTGCCATATTGGTCCATTTGATTGACCTTTATTATAATTATGAATTTATTTTATTTTCAGTTGCTACAAACGGGACAGACATGACTGGGGGATAGGACAGGGAGAAAGAATGAAAGAAAGAGAGGGAGAGAAAGAAAACCAAAGGGGAGAAGAGACGGTGAGAAGGGGGGGAAGAAAGAAAGAAAAACAAACAAAAAAAACAAAACACCCGGGTCACCTATATGGAGAAAAAAAACAGAAGAGAAAGCAAACAACAAAGAGCAGCATAAAAAAACCCGGCACCATCACAATAAACTAGCTAGCAGTAGATATCAGTAGATACAAAATAATAAATGATATTGTGCAGCACGCAAGATAGACAGCGCACAATGTGCTTTGAGGCAGCAGCCAAGAAAGCTGTAGTCCGCGTATGTGAATACCCGTGTGTACACCTGTGTGCATACCTGTGTGGATCAGCATGCTTGCATTCCAAAGGTTTCTCCGTGTAACGATCTGCTAGGGAGTGTGGGGAGCCACAGCCCCGTCCTCCAGGGTATGAAGCAGGTATGGAGGAGATCAAAACTCCAGACATCCAGAGGCCCCCAGAACACAAGAGACCAAGGAAGACCAACAGAGGGGCAGCCGCGCCACTGTCCCAGAAAGAGCTGAGGAGAGTCCCAGATGAGGGCTCACTCAGCAGCCGCGGAGCAGAAGCCAGGGGGAGTTGCAGTGACGCGCCCGTGAGCTCCGCCGGCAGCCAGCCGTGCCTGAGTGACCGAGCCCCAGGCCGAGAGGCCGGGGGCACCCCACCTCCGAAGTGGCCCGAGCGAGCCCCAGGCTCCAGGCCCCGATAAGCGGCCGCCAAGGAGTGAGCCGGTGTGTACCCGGACGCCCACCCCCAGACACAAAGAACCACCAACGCACCGACACCTGAGGGAGTCCGCCACTGGCAGGGGAAGTGGTGGTGGGTGGAGATAGGCCTCCAAACCTTGGAGGGCCTGAGATGTCCCCAGAGAGGTGGCATCTGATACCCAACCTGACATATAGACACAGACATACAGGCACACACAGACACAAACATCCATTCCCACCCTCA